CATATATTTTGTGAAATTTTACTTCAACTAGTTACTAGTTAACACAGTTGCTTCAAGAGTGGGAGAGTAAAACATGCAATGTGGGATTGGGCCTATAAAGTGATAGAATTCAGGGCCCAAAGTCATTTGGAGGTGGTTCGTTAACACTCTTTCGATGTTCAAGCTGAAATCAAAATTAAGGTGAACTAAAAGAGAAAGCGCTTCGAATCAGCAGAAGAGTAGATTGGGTTTTCATATGTAGCTCAAGCAGATAGGTCTGAAATGAACTTCCATATCTCTATAACTTGGAATCATTGCTTATTGGTTAAGGTTCAGGTCCATACTGATAAGTGGTATGAGTGAAAATGATTATATAAGTTAATTCGGAGAATAAAAGTGGCCATTTATTATTAATTTCTGAAATCTAGATGAAATCCAATCATACATCATTGTTTAATGATCTATGGAACAGCTGACTCCGTATCTCAAGAATTCGTTGATGTGGTTAGTAGCTTGTGGGTCTCAGCCTTCTTTTTACAAAATTTGTCTTCATTTTTGCGTACAAATTCAGGTTTTGTTGAATGAATTGAATCTTGTGAAATGATATATGAGTTAGATATTATTTTTCTTTGTTTTCTTAGTTTTGTAAAACAACTGCTTTCTTTGTGTTCCAGTTTTTTTTGTAAAACAACTGATATCATCGTTAGAGTATTCTAATTTTTAAAAAATATTCACAAATAAAAATCCTCCAGTGTTATCTATTTTGTATTGTTAGTAGTAGTACTGTTAAATGGTTTAGCTTGATAAATACTGATTCTTGAAATACATTTGTCTTTTCCAAGTATTCACTATCCGGCATGACAGTGTTGATCCATCTTTTTCACAACTCAATATATTATACTAGAATGATTTTATTTCATGTTTACGGTCCACTATAGTGGTTACAACATACAATACTCTGTTTCATCATTACTCAAAGACACCAAGAGTAAATGTAATAAAGGTAGAGTTGAGCCATGCCTTACCCTTTATAAACGGACCAACAGTGAACTTGGCTGCCTCCGCTGCGTTTTTGATGCGTCTATAACCGGGCCGTTTGACCCGGTTCGTCACGTTCGCACCGGGTCCTTTGTTCATGTACTCACCATAATATAACTTGTCAAGTCTATCCCCCTTGTTCCACTCCAACCATCCGGCGGGATCTATCAAGTCGTCTATAAACGAATTTATCAAAATCGTTCTAGAATATGGTCTCCATGGTCTACCTAAATATGCCTTGAAGTTTGCTTTCTCATGGACCAAATCAGGTGCAGCCAAGATTCGACAATCAATCAAAGAAATACCTACCGGTAGAGTCTCTCGGTCTATTGCGGTTTTGAGCCGTGAATACGATTTTTTGCGTCTTAATTGGTTTACGAGCGTAAAGATCACACTTCTGAAACACGACAGCTGCATTACCACATATAAAATCGATCTTACCAAATATTTGGCATTCTCTATAAAACTGTGTCGCTGAATGGACATATAAAGTGTCTTGATAACCTTCGAACGAGCATCGTTAAAAAGCAGAATGATCAGAATTACTTCGCAATGCCACGGCCTGCTCTTTCTCCGGTCCGGCAAAGTTCACGAAAGATATGCCTTTAGCTATGAAATCGTTACCGGCCACGCTTGCATAAACAAATTGTTTAATTAACACTCTTTAACTGCAATAAAAAGTTAAGATTTTATTTAGGCTCAAGATACAACTTGGTGTTAGCCTATAAAAATGTTTTCAAATGGACAACATTAAATTATAATCGATACACACTCAGCCATTAAATTATCAACATTAAGTTATCAACTTGGTGATAATGTGTCAAAATAGATAGAGATTGCAGCCAGTGTAACCAAAGATCACCGGTAGCAATCCTTCATCGCTCGAGATGGCCCTTCTTGGCTCCAAGAACTCATCGTATCAGAGGCACCGTTTGCCGTAGACTCTGCATCTTGAGTGGATTCCTTAATGGGCTCAAAAGTTGGGCTTCAGCTTTAGTCTGTTCTCAAGTTTACGTTTTAAATATGCAGTATTGGTTATATTTGCATAAGACGTTTTACAGAAGTTTGACTCTCTGTAATCATGGAACTCTTTCAGTTATAATTCTAACATTCAGCGTTAAAATAAAATAAAAAAATGGAGATGAGTTAAACTAGTGTACCAAATCACTATTTTGCCAAACCATTTTAAAAACCTTATATTTTCGAAGAGATTTGTTTGATTGATTATTTAAGAATAGTTATTGTAAATAGTATCCCATTTAACATTGTAAAATTAAGAGAACTAAAAGTAATTTAAAAATTAAAAAGAGACTAACCAACAGTAGCTGTATAAAATGTATCCCATCCACCAACGCGACTAAATTGATTATTCATCTTCATTTTGTGTTTTGGCTTTTGTCTAAATTGATTATTCATCTTCATCTTAGTGAGAAATGAAAAAAACTTAAGACAAAGTTTGAGATGTAATAAAATGAAAGGAGTGCATGGTTTTATAAGAAAATATGATGGTGGAGTGATCAAAATGTTTGGTACGTTGGTTAGTGGAAGCAAACTCAAAAAGACCAAAAGATCAAAAAAGCAAAGAGATTTTGATTTCCAAAGGAATCGTTGGATTGAGATTAAACAACAGAAGGTAAAACTAAGGCTAAGAACTATCGGTTAGATACAAACAAAAAGAAAGGGGGAAAAGCTAAATGTTAATGCTTTAATAAATTAAATGATACAAATTCAAAAATGAATTGCACCATTCAACATTCTTCAGATTATTTATAAGTTCTGATATTAGTTACCAAACTTTGGGTGTAGGTTTATGATTTAGAGAAAAGGTGAGGTTATTATGATTTAGAGAAAAGGTGAGGTTATGTCATTTTCCAAGTTATTTATAGGTCTAAATATTAGTTAAGAAATTATGGATAGAAATTATGATTTATATAAAAGATGGAGAATAATACCATTTATCCAAGTTATTAATAGGTGTGATGTTTCTCCTTAAACATAAACTAAAAGGTTTTGAAATTATTACTACGTTAGCAAATTGAAGATGAGTGAATCATACATATCAATCCTAACAATTAGCAGACGTGAGATATCATACATATACAAATTGAAGGGAAAAACTTTAGATTGGAAGGAAGATTAAATCCAAACCAGTTTTCAAATATTTCCAAGGCATATAAATACCCTTAAATTAGTTAGAGGCTAATCCAAAACTCATCTAGAGACTTGCTTCATGTACCTTGAGTTCATCTAGAGACCGAGGAACCTCTCCAAAATCAATAGGAGCTTATTCAAAATCGATCAGGTTGAATTTTCAATTTCACAAAAGCGAAAAAGAACAATCGTTGATATACTCCCTATCATCATCAGACCTTGGCCTCCTTATCTATCATGCATATATATTTCTCATTTTTTATATATTAGGTGAATGTTTGTATCAGGTGTAAACATAAAATTATAGGAATTGGTTTTTCTATATTAGAAATCTTTGTTTTTTATCACATAAATCATGACTATTTTATAACTACTGATTGTGTAAGATTGCATATATTAAAATAAGAGACTACAAAGTAATATTTGTTATAAGAAATGATTTTTTTTGCATCATGCGAAAACACAATATGTTAATATGATCTTCATCTATCACTACTTTTGGTCGGAGATTTAATATTGATAACGATAAAAAAAATTCATTACTGATTTGTTATTTTTTAATAGTTTTAGAAGATATTTAGTTCAAATAGATTTTTTAAATCTATTAAAAAAAGACATATGATTGTAGTTTTGTAGGATGATGTCCTTTG